TACACTACGCTACACTACTACTACAACTACAGCTAGGTTCTACACTACACTAATTACAGTACACTACGCTAATTACAGTACACTACACTACACCAACTAGGTTCACGGCTCATATGTCGCCGTGAGTCAAAATGAGATTTCGGTGATGCGCGTCGCACTCAAATCATCGCAATTACATGGGTTTCTCCTTGTCGTGTGAGTTCAATGTGTGCAAAAGTGCCTTTTCTCTTCTGCAAAATGCGAGTAATCTAGGCGGATCTTCCCCAAATTTTGTTATATGCCGCAAGAAAGTTTTTGCATTCAAGTTTCCCAAGTTTTTCGCCAAGCCGGGGCGTGCAGACGTGCAACCAACGTAGCATCCGTAGCCTGCAGATGTGTCACCAATGTAGCAATCGTGGCGTGCAGACATGTCACCAACGTAGCAACCGTGGCATGCAGACATGTAGCAACCGTGGCGCGCAGACATCTTACCAACGTTGCAACCGTGGCGTGCAGACATGTTATCAACGTAGCATCCGAAGCATGCAGACATGTTTCCAACGTAGCATCCGTGCAGATGCGCAACCAACGTAGCAACCGTGGCGTGCAGACATGTCACCAACATAGCAACTGTGGCGTGCAGACATGTCACCGACGTAGCAACCGTGGCGTGCAGACGTGTTATCAACGTAGCATCCGAAGCGTGCAGACATGTTACCATAGTAGCTTCCATAGCGTGCAGATGTGCAACCAACGTAGCATCCGTAGCGTGAGGTATCTTTGATTCCGTAAGAAGACGCGTCTGTGCGAATGCAAACACAGGACGTTATTAGCTCCACAGCCCACCCCACCCCACCCCATGACGTAGCCACGCATCCGAGAGAATACACGTCTATGCGGATGCAACAAGAGGACGTGATTAGCCCCCACCCCACCCCACCCCATCATAACCTTTAAAATGATACACATGCATTTTTTACCACGGCGAATTGTGAGCCGTGGTCCAACTACAACTACAACTACATTACGCTACACTACATAACACTTCTCTACTCTACTCTACCCTACACCACACTACACTACACTAATTTCATTAAACTACAATACACCACACCACAATACACTACACTACATAAACTACAACTACAGTGAGAGACCAGCAGTTAGAATTTGGAATCAATTGATTTCCTTTTAACCTAAAAATCCAGAGTTTTTTTTCTTTTACGACAGTTAGAAAATCCCGAAAAAAACACCACAGATAGAATATGAACATATGTTCCATAGTAATTTAAGTTTTTGGCAACAAACATCAATGTAGTATGTTGGATTTCTTGCATACGTCATGCGAAAATCATGCAGATAGAATATGGAATATTAGCGATAATTCTGGATCGATCATTTCATGATTGACATAGTGTTTCACACATAACTCATTGTATGTATATAATCTATATGTATTATGATAAGTGCAAATTATTGCAACTATGTGTTTGTTGTGAAACATGTGGTGCGCAATATTTGATTCTGATGATTGGCTATGAATTGTATTGTTAGCAAATAGCATGCAAGATCATGCAGATGGAATATGAGAAAATAAAGTTTATGATTATTCATTTAGTGATGGAAATCATTATTCACGGTTATCCAATTGGATGTATACGAATTTGTATTCATGATTGTTGCGCATTTTGTTTTTTTTAAACATTTGGGGAGCAATACAGTATTTGATTCTGATGATTGGCCATACATTGTATTGTTCATATTCTAACTGCACTTGTGCCATATTCTAACTCCAGATGCGTTGGCTTTTAGAACAGTGTCCGTAGACCGTATTCTATCTCTGGTAAAAGATTTTTCATATTCTAAGTGCCTGGCACTCACAGTACTGCTACAACCACAACTACAGCTACAACTACAACTACGCTTCTTTACACTACACTATACTACACTACACCACACCACACTACACTACACTACACTAGACCACACTACACTACCCTACATTGCATTACACTACACTCGTTACACCACCAGATTTGCAACCGCAACTACACTACACTACTTACACTACACCACAACTACAACTCCACTACACTACAGCTACAACTACAGCTGCGCTACACCACACTACATCCAGCAGTTGTGGGTGAGGCCCACTGCAACCAAACACAGCTCCAACCATCTTTCAGTCCATCAGTGGATTCGCTCTGCCATGTGTGATTCACAACAACCAACCTCTCCTATGGGTGTCCTATTTTTGAAACTTCCGCCACCGTTTTGTGCGGCACTACTGGTATGGTATGGTATGGTATGGTTTGGTTTGGTTTGGTTTGGTTTGGTTTGGTATGTATACATTCTGTATGTGTTTGTATTTGCACACATGTATCTATAACCTATCTATGCACATGTGAGACTTCACCAGGCACTGGGATGATTTCCCTGATGCTTATGTGAAGAGGAGCTGTAAACAATGAACTTCAATCCACCTTGCTGTGTCGATTGTGCATAAACATGTTGTGGCCAAAACCATCTGCAAGTAACAGGGGAAATCATTTGGGTCCGAGCGATGCTTCATGCCAAGACGTCTGGAATTCAAACATACAATGACAATTATGCAAACCTCGCCCTCTGCCTCAGCCAGATCTACTCATTGATCGAAGGAAGTTTAGAAGTCAAACTTCCGACAATATGAACAGATGAATTGCAGAGATGGGAAGCGTCAGAGAAGAGATGAGAAGAAGAAAGAAGATCAAAAAAGAGAAAGTCTCAGAAGAAAGAAGATCCAGGTGCGCGAAAAGGTAGGAAAGTCGCAAAACACTGTTTTTTTCCAATGATTTGTGGCTCCGGAGGGTCGGGCTCGCTAAAGCGGCGGGTGCGGAGCCAGCTGGCTAGATGAGAGGTGAAAAATGGCACGCCGTTGTGGCACGAAGCACATTTGCAAGTGAAAAAGTTAAAAACACATCACGTCCGGAGCACTTTTGGAAGTTGAGATGTCGAAAAAGGGCGCGCCGTTGTGGCACAAAGCACGTTTGCAAGTGAAAAAGCTAAAAGCACCCTACGTTCGGAGCATTTTTGGAAGTTGAAAAGTCGAAAAAGTGCACGCCGTTGTGGCGCGAAGCACATTTCGAAGTCAAAAGCGTAAAAAACTGACGGGTTCGGAACACTTTTGGACGTTCAGATATTACCAAAAGCGATGGCAGGCGTGGGACATTTGAAGAGGATCTGCAAAGATGCATGGCGCAGTGCAAGAGACATGTTCATCAGAGCTGTTCGGAGGTCAGGGCGCTGATTTCCTGAGAGAGGTTGCATTTTGGAGCATCAGATTTCAGGTTTGCTGAGACTTTGCGTGACAGGTGCAGCACTTCGTATGACCTGGCCTCACTTTTTCGTGGCAGGCGCACTACTTTAGACAGGCGGCATGGAAACATCGCAAAAACGCATTGGTACGAGGCCGTCATCTCTGCACTCAACTTTCCATTTTTGAAGGACGTCTCACAGAGTTGCTTCGTTTTTGATGTTGTCAACTTCTAAAAATGAGGAAGTCTCGCAGAATTGTTTCATTTTTGACGTTGTCAAGTTCAAAAATTATGAAAGTCGCAGAACTGCTGCGTTTTTGATGTTGTCAAGTTCAAAACCTGAGGAAGCCTCGCAGAATAGCTTCGTTTTTGACGTTATCAAATTCAAAAGTTGAGGACGTCTCGCAGAATTTCTTCGTTTCTGACGTTGTCAAGTTCAAAAGCTGAGGAAGTCTCGCAGAATAGCTTCGTTTTCAAGCTTGCACATAGACAGATAGATAGATAGACAGCTACAACAACTACAACTGCAACTACATTACACTATGCTACACTAATTACACTATGCTACATTCCACTACACTACACTCAATTACACTACACTACACTAACTACAACTACAACTACATCTACATTACAATACACTACACTAATTACACTACACTCCACTTCACTTCACTTACACTCCATTACACTACCGTACACTACAACTACAGCTACAACTACAACTACAGTACACTACACTAATGACATTGCACTACACTAATTATACTACACTACACTACACTACATTGCCCTACGCTACACTACACTCCACTTCACTTCACTACACTACACTCAATTACACTACACTACACTACAACTAAAACTACAGCTACAACCAGCTACAGCCAGCTACAACCAGCTACAACTACAACTACATTACACTACACAACTACACAACACTACACCACACTTCACAACACCACACCGCACCACACCACACTACAGCTGCTACAGCTGCAACTCCAACTACGCTACTTTACACACACTACACGACGCGACGCGACGCGACGCGACGCGACGCGACACGACACGACACGACACGACACTAACCTACGTTACATTACACTACACTAATTACACCACCACAAATGCAACTGCAACTACACTACCCTAATTACATTACACCACAACTACAACTCCACTACGCTACAACTACAACCACAGCTGCGCTACACCACACTACATCCAGCAGTTGTGGGTGAGGTGACCGACCAGGTGACCACTGCAACCATTGCAACCATTCCAAAAAACACAGCTCCAACCACCTTTCGGTCCATCAGTGGGTTCGCTCTGCCATCCGTGATTCACAACAACCAACCCTTCCCATAGGTTTCCTATTTTTGAAACTTCCGCCACCGCCTTGTGCGGTGCTACTGGTACATTTTTTTCCTTGATATGTTTTCACCTGAAACCATCAAAACAAACCCGGGCTCCTCATACGAACCAGATGAATCACCAAGGTGTCAGACAGGTTTGGTTAGTTATTGCTTGGCATTGGGAATTTGGGCAGCGAATCCTGGACTTGAGGTCTTCAGCGATCTAAACGAAATGGCTGGCTTAAGCGATGAGGAAAAGCGCCACGTCGACATGAGACGAGACAAGGTGGCTGATCCCAGTCTATGGTCAAAACTTCAACCGCGAAATGGAAAGACCAATGGGAGCGATGACAATGCGCAAAGTTATGCACAGAGTCAATGCGTTTTGGCTGATTGTCCGAAAGTTGATTGTGTGGCGCTGTTGCGTTGTATGCATTGCACGCGCGCGACACAAACTGTTCCAGTCAAAACAAAGTGTTTCCAGGATTCCATGCTCACTGCCAGGTGCAAGAAGCGCCGAACATCACGCGCTCTGCCCTCCGCAAATGGGAGGTGAAAGTGTTTGTTGCTGTCCAAGTTGCCCGCTGTCCTATGTTCCTCCCTAGACTCAACAAATAAAGCTCATTCCTTCATGTTTGCGCTCAAGTCAGGCAGTGCCAAGACGTTGGTTGACTCTGAGCCAATATCGGATGCGCAAACAAGTGCAGAAGAGCTGCTGACCCAGAGCTGCTGAACATGTTCTGAACACGCAGGAAGCATCAGAAAATTGAATTGCAAGAAAAAGGTGGAAACATATTTGGGCAGCACACAGAAGTTTCATACAGTCTGCAGCAGGCTGAGACTGAAACTGGTGGCCCCAAAGTAAACGCATCGAGGCTACAATGCAACGGCAGACGCGCTGGTTGACTTTATGGAAAAGAACAATTTGCCCATTCCCACTGAAGAGCCTCGGGCTGCACCTATGCTCGAGATGAAAGGACTCCTAGGAAGAGAAGAAGCAGCAAAATAGTCAAACTCGATTTATATATTGAAGTATTCCTTGTCTCTTGGTTGTGCCCAGGATGATCGCTCCTGGGCAGATCTACCGCCGGCCTTGAAACGGGACGACCCCTTTGTGGGTATGGTGCCTTGGTAAGTTGGCAGCTCTGGTAGTTCGGTCACATAGAAATCCGCACCGATTAGGACGGCCCTGATTATAGGGGCCCGGGTCCAAGAATTCTAGAAATTGCCCTTGCAATTGCACGCCCTTGGCAGACGCTTTGGTCACGTTGTAGTCTAAAACCGTACTGGTTTGCAGACTTTATTCACTCCGAAGACTTTCCGATGCAACACCAACATGCCGTCCCCTCGCCGTGAAACGCCCTAGGGAAACGGAACCATTTACTGCCGCGCGAATTTCATCCCACCACAGAAGCGCATTGCTTCTCATGCTATTCTTCCGTTTTAATAGAAATATTATTCCCCACATTGACGTGTGGGGTTTTTGTTTTTAGTTCTGTATCCGCGCCTCCTCCTTCCCGTCCTTCCCGTCCTCACTCACACTCACTCACACACTCACTCACACACACACACAC